TATCCAATCATCAGCAAATACCAATATCTGTATCTTAGAGATGTATTCAGAAACTGACCATTTCTCAGATCTGCTACTGCTCCCATGCTGATCCAAAACACCACCCCTTGCTCGCCTGATTACTACAACAGCCTTCTGTCCCCTGATCTGCCCTTTCTTCCTTTGAGTCTATTTTCAGCACATCAGCCAGAGTGATCCTATCAAGCACAGTCAGATCAAGTCATGTCTTCTGCTGAAAATACTCTCATAATTTCCCATCTCATTCACTTTTGATCCCCATTACATCTCTGACCTTACCTCCTACTCCTCTTCCCCTCATTCACTGTACCACAGATACAACAGCCACTTTGCTTCCTGTAGGACATACCAAACATGGTTCTGCCTCAGGGCCTTTGCACTGGATGTACCCTTGGCCTCGAGTGCTTAGTCCTCAGATACCTGCATGGCTTGTTTCCTTACCTTCCTCAAGTATTCACTCAGACGCCTCCATTTGATGAAGCTTTCCAGAGCCACCATATTTCGAACATCAACCCACCACCTCCTTAATATTCCATTTCCAGTGTCCCTGCTTATTTTCCTCCATAGCACATGAGAGCATCCTCAGTATTTACAATTTATTTATCTTTTTTATTGTCTGACTCTCTCAGACAGACAATTCCATTCAGTGCTGTATCCCTGACACCTAGAACAGAACTTAGAACATACCAGATCAATACTTAATGATTAAAAGAATAACTGAATGAAGCCCAGAAAGGTTAAGCAACTTTCTCAGGGTCACACAGATTGTATGGGTCTGGATACACCCAAGTCTACCTGGGGTTAGAGCCCAAGCTCTCATCCATCACACTAATCTGAGCAAAGGAAGAGAACTCTAAACTACACCCAAAGGCAGGCGTTTCTATCATCTCCTTTGTGTGTGTGTGTGTGTGTTTAAATTTTTTTTTTATTGATTATTAGAGAAAGAAAGGAAGGGAGAGAGAGGAAAAACATCAATGTGAGAGAGAAATATGATCGACTGCCTCTTGCATGCCACCTACTGGGGATCAAGCTGGCAACCTGGGCATGTGCCCTGACCGGGAATCAAACAGGCAACCTTTTGGTGCACGGGATAATGCCCAGCCAACTGAGCCACACCAGCCGGGGCAATCATCTCCTATGTTTTGACCTCCCAGAGCTGCACACTGCAGCAGGGCCAGGGCTGCCTTTGCTTCACTAGACAAGAGTTCTTTCTTTCTGCTCAGTGGCGGGGATGCCTGGTGCCTGTGTGGGTAGAAGGGGAAGTCTTGGGCTTACCTGCCACTGCCATGGCAACCAGGTAACCTAAGGACTCCAGAAGCAAGTCCTTTCAGATTGAGAAGGGGAAAAATGAGGCAAGCCCAAAATGAACAGAAAGAAACCTGTGAACGGAGAACTGACTGGGGCCTTGTGCCTGCCACTTGCTGTGTCATTGGCAGCAAGGATAATCCATCCTGTTCTCTCCCTACCCTCCAGCTCAGCCATGGCCAAGGGCAGTGGATCACCTTGTCCTGCTTCCCGCCTCTAGCATGACCCCACTTAACCCATCCAAGGGCTCACGCTGTTCTCTTCAGCATCCCCAGAGATGGGTGCCCCAAAACACTCTCGGTGACCTCTTGATAACACAGAGGACAGTCCTGGCCAGAAGTTAGGAGATCCATGTTCTGACCCCCTACCCATCTCAGAGGGGCAGACTCTTGGTTCCTTAATCTCAGCTTCTCTCTGGGGCTCAGTTGACCTTTACTTAAAAATGAATCGCGCCAAAACCGGTTTGGCTCAGTGGATGGAGCGTCGGCCTGTGGACTGAGAGGTCCCAGGTTCGATTCCGGTCAAGGGCATGTGCCTGGGTTGCGGGCACGTCCCCGGTGGGGGATGTGCGGGAGGCGGCTGGTCGATGTTTCTCTCTCATCGATGTTTCTGACTCTCTGTCTCTCTCTCTTCCTCTCTGTAAAAAATCAATAAAATATATTTAAAAAAAAAAATGAATCCCTTCCTTACCTATTTGATAGTAGGAGAATCAAGTGGAACTGTAGTAAAACAAACAAACAAACAAAAAACACAACAAACTATGAAATTAAAGTCCTTAGGGAAATGCGAGGTAGAATTGCCATATTTTCACAAGAGATCTTACTTGTACCAGGCACTGTGCCCAGCATTTTATGTACTTGATCTCACTCAATCCTTACAGCCACCCTTGAGAAGGTAAGAGCTGCCCACAATAGGAAGATGAGGAAATGCTGCCTCAGAGAGGTTAAGAAACTTGCCCAAGTTTGCACAGCCAGTAAGTGACAAAGAGGCCTTCAAACCTAAGAAGTCTATCTCCCAACACTATGCAATCCCCCCGTCCTGCACTGTGTCCAGTGGGGCCTGGGGGTTAGAGAAGAACTGATTTTTCTCACCCTAGTCATTCCCAGGACAGTCACTGGGCCCCAGAGCGCCAAGCAGATCATCAGGGAAGTGGGCGGTGCCTTCCCATTTACTAAGCCCCTTTGATCTGTGGAGTTTGCTGAGCTCAGAGGACAGGATCATAATAATCCGCCAGCCCAAAGGCTGGAGCCTCAGGGGCTGGTCCTCTCTCACAGCCTGGCGCCCATCCACGGGGTTCGCAGGAGCAGCCCCAATCCCAGAGGAAACAATTAGAGAATGATTAAGTGCCAAACTGTGGGTGATGATGCGGGAGAGGAAGCAAGTCTGTATGCTGGTGGTGGGAGCCCAGTTGGACCAGGAAGGGGTTGGGTCTGGAAAGGAGAAACCAGAGAAGAGACCGAAGGGTACAGGTGTGGGAGGGACGGCAGGGCCCGGGATGTAGGAGGGGAAGGAGCAGAGGAGTGCGGTGGGAAACTCAGAGTCTGATGATGTCAGAGAGACCCAGCTTCACATCCTAGCCATGCCACGGCTGGCTAGGTGACCTTGGGCTGGTCATTTCCCTTTCTCTTCGATAGAGGTCCCTTTACATCGAGAGATGTTCACCACCTCAGTTTCTTTCTTTCTTTCTTTCCTTCTTTCTTTCTTTCTTTCTTTCTTTCTTTCTTTCTTTCTTTCTTTCTTTCTTTCTTAATATTTTTATTTATTTCAAAGAGGAAGGGAGAAGAAGAAAGAGATAGAAACATCAATGATGAGAGAGAATCCCTGATTGACTGCCCCCTGCACACCCCACACTGGGGATTGAGCCCGCAGCCCGGGCATGTGCCCTGACTGGGAACAGAACCACAATCTCCTAGTTCATAGGTCGACGCTTAACCACTGAGCCACGCTGGCTGGGCTCACCACCTCAGTTTTCATGTTCCACCATTTAACCTCTAACAGAGTTTCCTGAAAAGAACATCAAATCTAACCTGAATCCGTCTGGCTGCTGGCTCATTTCCACTTCTGTTCTTGAGAAACACAGGCATGACCAGAGATGGTGAAGTGTCCAGGTTAAGGCCTCTTAGAGCCCTAAATACAAAAAGAATATGGCTTTATTCCCAATATACATAAAAATATACTAAATAAAACTTGCATAAGTGCCAAGGTTAAAATAGCTTCTTTGCAGATTTATTTATTTATTTGGTAAAATTCTGGATTGCTTCCACCATCAAAGTTAACCCTTTCTAACAGTTTGGGTGTCCTTGCTTTCCACTGTTTGTGGTGCAAAAAAAGTCCCTATTCTGCCAAAAGAGGTTGCACAGTCCTAAGGGAGAGTGGGGGACTGGGAGCTTCAGGGAAGCAGCACACCGTTGACCTCTTGGCCCCACTGCCGGCACTGGGACCAGGTCATGCCCGCCCCCCCTTCTCACATAAGTATGTTGAGGCTGGGATGAGGGGGGTGACTCCAGTGAGCCCTGAGGGTCCCACATCCAGAGCCACAACAGAGGCCCCAGGCCTTGTTCTCAGGGGTGGCCCAGCTCTCCTGTCTCGTGGCTGCAGCTTGAGGAGCAAGGGGTGCAGTCTTCACTGTTGCCTGGCACCATTTTCGGGGGCCGGGAGTAATGTCTCTTACCTGATCGGCAATTTGACATGGCTGCTTAACAACCGATTAATCAAACCCAGTTCATCCTGTTAGAATAAATGAGCCTAGGAAATGCTGCCATGAATAATGAGGGCTTTTGTCCCTCACGCAGCACCTCTCCCCACTTCCTCCTATCTCCTTCCCAGAGACACACAGCAGCTACTCCATACCAAGGATTTCTACCCCTCTTCCAGGTGCCCCTGCTGCCCACCCAGAGCCAGAGCTGGCCATGTCCTAGAGCAGTGGTTCTCAACCTGTGGGTCGCCAACCTGTGGGTCGCGGCCCCTTTGGGGTCGCACGACCCTTTCACAGGGGTCGCCAAAGACCATCAGAAAACATATATATAATTATATATTGTTTTTGTGATTAATCACTTGCTTTAATTATGTTCAATTTGTAACAATGAAAATACATCCTGCATATCAGATATTTACATTATGATTCATAACAGTAGCAAAATTACAGTTATGAAGTAGCAACGAAAATAATTTTATGGTTGGGGGTCACCACAACATGAGGAACTGTATTAAAGGGTCAAGGCATTAGGAAGGTTGAGAACCAATGTCCTAGAGGAACAAAGCCTCTTGTCCATCAAACGGACATGTGTGCATGCATGCCCTTGCCAAAGCTGGATAGTGTCTGTTTCAGGCACTGTACTGGGTGCTAAGGACACAAAGATGAATAATATACTGTTCCCGTGAGGGGTAACAGTGTATGACCCCCTTTGGATGGCAGAAGGCTTCCATAGAAATCAACTCACTCATTTTCACGGCAACACTAGGACTCAGGCAGCACAGAGGCTAAAACTCCACTGAAGTGTCCTGGCCCCCACGGTGGAGAAGCTGGAGCCCAGGTCTCCTTGGTGGGGTCTGGTGCCTGCCAGCAAAGCCTGTGGCTTGGTTTCAGTGGCATGGTCTAGGCTACCCAGCCTACCACCTGCCTACCTGCCTGCCAGCCTAATTCTGGGCCTCACCACCCTGTGCCTCTTGTCCTGCAGGGGGAGCTGCTGAGCCCGTGCCGCTGCGATGGCTCCGTCAAGTGTACCCACCAGCCTTGCCTCATCAAGTGGATCAGCGAGCGCGGCTGCTGGAGCTGTGAGCTGTGCTACTACAAGTACCACGTCATTGCCATAAGCACAAAGAACCCTCTGCAGGTACCACCGGGGGCTGCCCGCTGGCTGGGGGCGCTGGGGTGTTGGGATCCGGGCTTCCCACATCCCCTGCCTTCCTGGGGGAGGACCATTTCACCTTAGAGTCAGGGCAGTTTGGAGAAAAGAAATGAGGTAGGCTAGGTGGGCAAGATCACAGATGGCATTTGGGCAGGAGGAAATGAAAAAACGTTTGTGTATTTTTTAAAGCCTCAGCAAGAAGAGGAGAAAGGAATGAGGCAAAGAGAGAGAAATAGATATAGAAGGAAAGAAGGGCAGAGTCAGATGGAAAAGAGAATAAGAGAGTGATGGACAGATGGGTGGATAGATGATGGATGGATGGATGGATGGATGGATGGATGGATGGAAGCAGAAAGGAAAGGACAGGACAAAGAAGAAAGAAGGGAGGGAGGGAGAAGAAGAAAGGAAGGAAGGCCAGAGGACAGAAGAGAACAGAATGAGAAAAAGACAGCGGGTGGAAGGGGTGAGGAGAAAGCCTGAGGTAAAGCTAAGGGCAAGAAAAGAGGAAAGAAGGTGAAAGGAGATTCAATGGCACTTTCCACCCTTTAATGTACATGCAATTCACCTGGAATTTGTCAAAATGCAGACATGATTCAGGAGTCTGGGATGGGGCCTGAGATTCTGCATTTCTGATAAGCTATGGGTTGATGGGGTGGTATGGATGCTGCTGATCCACGAATCACACTTGGGTGACAGGGGCCAGAGAAGAATGGAGAAGAGACAGGAGAGGGAGGCAGAGGGAAAGTGAAGAATGGGCAATAAGGAAGGAAGAGCCCTAGCTGGTTTTGCTCAGTGGATAGAGCATCGGCCTGCAGACTGAAGAATCCCAGGTTCAATTCTGGTCAAGGGCACATGCCCAGGTTGTGGGCTCGATCCCCAGTAGGGGGATGTGCAGGAGGCAGCACAGGAGGCCAATGATTCTCTCTCATCATTGATGTTTCTATCTCTCTCTCCCTCTCTCTTCCTCTCTGAAATCAATAAAAATATATTTTTAAAAAATAAGGAAGGAAGAAAAGGGGAGAAGCTACTGTGAAGGGCAAGGGCAGGGAGGGGCAGGGCTGGGGTGGGGTCTACCAAGCAGATTTAGACAGGGCTAGACATGCAGGAACTGAGGGGTCCCCCACCCCATCCTCCCACCCTGCCCTGACACATCCATCTTCCCAGAGGAGCCGGCAGGCCCTGCACCACCCCATAAATCCTCCAACTTAAGCAGCTCTCCCTCCGAAGCAAGTGCATATAGAGAGTGCTTGGCTTCTGAAAATACCTCCATGTGCACATGGTCAGCCAGTTAAGCTGCCAGGTCATCAGTTAGCCAGCAGGCTAGTGAGGGTGGGAACTGAGCATCTGCACAGTGGTGTCACTCTCCTTCCTGAGGGGGAGGGAGAGTGACCCTGTGAACCCAGGAGGGCGCTGGTTTGGTGGTGATGGTGGGATGGGGTCTCTGCAAGGGGCGGGGGCAGGTGGAAACCTGGAGCTGCCGTGTCCAGGGCGTTTTATGTTAGACACTATGCAGCTTACATGGGGCACTGCCAGGAATGAGTGTGTGTGTGTGTGTGTGTGTGTACCGGGGAGGGGGGGCAATTTTTTCTGGAAGGAGACATTAAAAGCCCCAGGCACCTCAGCCATCCTGATGGTGGAACAAGGGGTCAGAACAAGAGGTGCCACCCCCTGTGCTGGTTCCATCTCCAGTCATTCGTTTCAAATCTTGCAGTGTCTTAAAATAGCAGTGTCGTGAGACAGCTGATTCCACACCCGCGTGCTGTAACTCTCCCCTTCCTTCTCGGCTGACTCAAGCCTTGAAGAAGGGTCAGGGTCCAAACCTACAAGTCTCCCCATGAGTGCCCCCTTGGCTCACTAGCAGGCATTGGCCTTTGACTCATAAGATGAAAAAACATTTAGGGATAACTCTTTCCGGGGGGGGGGGGGGGAGGTTATTCTAATCTCATAAGTACAGCAAACAAATGGCAGAATTGACAAAATTGAGCTATTAATTTACTGCTAAGTTACTACCGTGACTCTGCTGCTTTTGGAAATGCAGTGGTGTCACTGCACTTTTCCAGACCACACAGAAGGAAGTAGTCTGGACTAGCAGCAGTGTTGTGTGGTTGTTGCCCAAATTGTCCCAGTTGTGTGTCCTGGGCTCCTTGGGCCCAGCCAAGTGTGAGGCAGCTGCCTACTGAGCCTCAGTGGGACAACTTCTGCTCCCACAACCCAGGCAGACCACCCGTGGTACGGGACAGAGTGGGCAGGCCCCACCGCCAGTGAGCAGAGCCATGGATGGTAGCCCGGGGCTGCCTGTGCTCAGTGTGGGGAGGTTTCTCACAAGCCCCATACAAAGTGGTGAAAAACAGCAGCCATGACAGTATGTTACCTCAGTGACCCTCTGCAAGCTCTGGTTCTAGCAGAAGAGCCACTGAGGAGAGTTTGGGGGTGGCCCCATGATCCTCGTGGTTATTTCTTACCTTTTCTGCTACACCTGAGCTGCAGTTACATTAATGTTCAGTGGGTGCTCACTGGGGGCCAACCACTGTTGTACGTATTCATGCATATTATCTCATTTAATATTGAAAACAACCAATGCAGTGGGTACTGTTATTCCCAATGTACAGATGAGACAGTGGAGGCACAGAGGGGTCAGCAATCTGCCCAGGGTCACCTGGTGGAGCAGGGTTGCATCCAAGGGGTCTGACTCCTGAGTCTGGCCCTTAACCTCTACCCTATATAGTGCACAGCACTGAGTTTGCTGAGTAAGTTTACCTTTAGGCAGCCCCCACCTCGACGTGCATGACTATATTTTTGCTGAAACATAACGAAGAAGCACAGAACGTTATTTCATTTAACCCTCACAATATTCTAGGAAGTGGGACTGATTATTTCCACCTTTACAAAAGGGCAACTTGAGAGTCTTTAGGACATATTGACTTCTCCTAGGTCACACTCTGCAAGTTGGGGCAGAGCTCGGCTGGAACTGGGTCACCTGCCCAGACTCAGTGCCCCACGTGCGTTCCCTATGTTGCAGAACAGGCGGCGCTTGAGAATCTCGCATTTAGAATCTTGCTCTGTGTCTGGTGGCTGCAGAGCCTGGAGCCCCTGGAGCCCTCCCCCAGCCCCCCCCCCCCCCCTCCAGCCTCTTTGAGACCTTGGTCACTTGTTCTCTGCTGTCTCCTTGCACTTCTGCTCCCGCACCATTTGGGGAGCCTCACGTGGAACAGACAGGAGGGCAGCCTTGACGATGGCCCCCACCCCACTCCTTCTTCATGCTTTAGACTGTAGTTTGGGCCTGTTTAGTTTCCACAGGTGGCTTGGGGGCTGGTAGGAAAGGGCTTTAGAAATTAAGGGGACTTTTCCGTGCCTTTGGTTTTGGGATTTTTTAAAATCTGGAGCAGGAGAAGGTGGAGGTTATTGATGACTTAATGGTAGAAACAAAAAAGCCCAGGCAGGAACCCTCTTCACAGACAGTGGGACAGGCCTGGAAAAGGCATTCGTTGTATATGAGCAACATCTGTAGGTTTGGGTTACAGACTTCTGGAAAATCCCCTTGTTATGTGTAACCCTAGGCAGGAGGAAACAGTGGAAAATTTAAAGGCCCAATGACGTGTAAGGGGATAATTAAATGTGAAGGCGGATGTCCTACATCTAGACTAGCAAACAACATGTTTTCCAATGGTTACAATTCCTTGGGGGCCATTGATCAGTCCCGGCTGGAGCCAGAATCACTGCCCCCTTCCCGGCCATTGGATGCAGAATGAGCGCTCGCTGTTGGCAGGTGGAGGGTACCCTGCCTTTCCTCCGGTTCAGGCCGAAATGCCCTAGGAGTCTTCTCTGCAAGGTGTTATGCAACTTCCTATGATCAGGAGATTGTCCTTCCTTCCCTCTTCCCAAACCTGATCCTTGTAAAAGTGTCCAACTTCCCTGCTTAAAACTGTTCAAAAGCATCACATTTACTCTTAGGACAAAGTCAAACATCTGTGCGTATCCTTCAAGACTCCACATGGTCTTCCCCTCTTGTATTTCCAGTGTCTCACCCCACAACCTCTTCGCTCTCTCTGCTCCACTCACGCTGGCCTTCCTCCAAGTTTTCACACTCTCAGGGCCTTTGCACACCTTCTTCCCTGGGCCTGGGCCCCTCCCCTCTCTTTCTCTAGTCAGCTCCTACTCAACTCAAGCATCTCTTCTCCTGGGAAGTCAGATCCCCATTTACAGACTTCCACAGTGACATGGATCTCCCTTTCTTACTCCTGATAAATTACATTTGTAAGAAATTATTTGGTTGTCTGTGTTTTCTAGAATGTAAGCTCCATGAGAGCAGAAATCATGTATGTTCTTGCTTACTACTTTGTCCCTGGCACCCAGGAGAGTGGCTGGCACATAGAGACTACTCAGCACATGTTTGTTGAGTGACAGCATAAATAAATCCCAAACTAAAATCCAACCCCAGGCTCATTCAGGCCTCTGCTACCTAGATCGTCATAGAATAGCAGAATTTCAGAGCTGAAACTCACCCACACCTTAGCCTTCAACCCATCCATCAATACTGCTATTAGTATAATACTTTTTCTGTTTAAAAAAATGAAACTTTACTGTTCATACATAGTCAGTAGATTATACTGTTTTTCTTATCTCTCCTCAACATCCTGGGTCCTCTCCTAGTCTGTTGAATTGGTAATCTCCAGCATGTATATTAAATGGCATGCCAGGTGTTGCAGAAAAGTAAAAACGGCCTGTGTCGTTTCAGCACCTATCAGTGTGAAAGGAAACAGTGCTGCTCTGAAAATAATATTTAGGCCCTGGAATTCCAACCACATTAGCGCTGCATTTTCACTTCCTCCTCCCCATTTCTCTGTCTGTGTCATACTCAACTGCAAAGACCTTCCTTCCCAGCCATGCCTGCCCAGAACCCCACCCCTGCAATGACTTTTTTTTTTATTATTCTTTTTTTTTTAATATATTTTATTGATTTTTTACAGAAAGGAAGGGAGAGAGATAGAGAGTTAGAAACATCGATGAGAGAGAAACATCGATCAGCTGCCTCCTGCACATCTCCTACTGGGGCTATGCCCGCAACCCAGGTACATGCCCTTGACCGGAATCGAACCTGGGACCTTTCAGTCCGCAGGCCGACGCTCTATCCACTGAGCCAAACCGGTTTCGGCCCTGCAATGACTTTTGATCATTTGGTGTGATATAGGTTTCTTCCACCAAAACAATATAAAACTAAAAAACTTGCAAGAATATCCATTGTGTCACTAGTTGGAAAGCCCTGGTTTAAATCCTAAACCAGTGGTGAGAGTTTGGGGGTGACAGAAGGAAGAGGGATGGGAATGGGATGAGGGTATCTGAGCAACAGCTAACCTACTGACCATTCATTCTCTGCCCCGCAGTGGCAGGCCATCTCTCTGACAGTCATTGAGAAGGTGCAGATTGCAGCCGCCATCCTGGGTTCCCTCTTCCTCATCGCCAGTATCTCTTGGCTCATCTGGTCAACTTTCAGTCCCTCGGCAAAATGGCAGCGCCAAGACCTCCTCTTCCAGATCTGCTACGGGATGTATGGGTTCATGGACGTGGTGTGCATTGGTGAGTCGGGGTCTGTCTCCATGGGAAGCCAAATGAGGGTGAGTTAGACAAATCCCTCAGGACTGCACCCTCTGAGAGGTCAAAGCAGAGAAGGCAGCAGCTTTGAAACCTGTGAGCTCAGGAGGGGCTGGTGGCTTAAATTTGGGAGGTGAGTGGGAAGCAGGGAAGGGAAGGGAGATCTAAATCTTTCCAAGCAAATGTCTTACCTGGTTGAAGATAGATAAGGAGACTTGCCACTATGAAGATTTGTGAAAAGTCTGTTGGTCAGTCTATCTGCCTCTGGCCGGATGAGGAAAGCCTCCTCTCTGTTGTGTACCCATAGCTGCCAAGCCAGACCAGGGCTGCCTGCACATTTAATCTCATTCTCTTCACAGCAAAATGCCCAGAACCAGTATTGAGGATGCCTGCCTCCTTTTTCCAGCTTTCCATAAGCCGATTCCAATGCCCAAGATTTCTCTAGTCGAGTTGTTTTCACATTGTGTGTAGCCCTGGGCTTCCATGCCCAGCTTCAGGAGCCACCTTCAGGAGGGGAATGGAGTGCTGACCTGATGGGCTCTGACTCTTCACCCCTGTGTCACCCTGAGCTTCTGCTCTTTTATCTATTTACATGTTTCCATTGCAGGTATGATTCTGTTTAAAAGGCATCAGTGTTTTAGAAAAAAGTCAGAAACCCACCACTTGAGTTCCTCCTTATCCCATTCCCAAATCTAGGTTCCCCTCTCTAACCTCCAGTTAGTTTGGTTGGTGGAGGGTTGGTTGACATAGGCTGTCAACTCTGAAGTCTTCATCCAAGTGACTGAGGAGTGGGGAGTGGTCCTGGTTTTCTGAGTGACGGGAAGCCTGCATATCCTGACCCGGAACTCTCAGATTTCCCCTAGGCCATAGTGCTCACAGCATCAGAGCACCACAGCTGTCTTCCCTGGGCATTTGTTTATGAATTATATAAAAATGCTACAAGGCTTCGTTTGGCAGAAAAACATCTATTAACTAGAATTTGGCTGGGATGATATTAATGTGAGTTTCTCTGGGATCCTATAATATTAGAACCAGAGAGGTTGGACACTTGCATACTAATGACAGTAGCCAGCAACTAGTGATGCCGGAACTTGTAAACTTGTCTAAGCAAACTTGCTGCCTCTCTGCACTAGTGAAATCAATACATCAACCCCTAGTTCAAGAGACTGTTCATTATGGCATGTAGGCAGTGAAATAAGCAGACTGCTCGGGTTTTGAGAGTGGTGGAAGAAAGAAGACCATTAATGGGAGGAATATGACTTGAGGCATTCTAATTTAGTTCCCTCTTGCACAAAACTCCCTTCCTACTCCTGCTGAGGCCTGGCCTTGTTGATGCCAAAAACCAGTTGTGTCTCCATATGGAGGTATGGGGCTCTGGCATGGAGGGGCCTTCCTGTAGAGGCCCCTCCAGCTGCCCTTCATTCTCCTTCAGGCAGGTTTTTGATCTGTCATTGATATGAGTTTCTAGGAGACATGCTTTCCTGACACGTGGTATATTAGTCAGCTTTGGCTGCAGTGACAAACAAACTCCAAAATTGCAGAGCCTTATGACAGCAAGCATTTATTTTCCATTCATGGGACTACAAGATGGCTGTGGCTCTGCTGGACTTGGCTGGGCTTAGCTTCTGACTGTGCATTGGCTTTGGGCCTGCTCTGAGCGTCTCTTCCTGCTGGGCCCAGCCTAAAGGAGCAGGGACTACAGGAGTGTATTCTCTTAGCCAAGTGCAGGAACACAGGAGGATTGGTTGACACGTGCAATGCTTCTTGAAGTTTCTGCTCAGTGCTGGTACATTACTCCTTCTGCCCACAGACATTGGCCAATGCAAGTCACCAACTAGCCTTCCATCAAAGAGGTAGTGGGGCAGGGAAGTATACTCCTCCTTTCCGGGTGGGAATGTGGGTGAGAGAGAGGAGCATAAATACCACTTACCACTCAGGGCTCCATAGGTCTGACGATTGAGATAATTGAACATAGAGGAGATTGTACAATCGACCAGCATGACTCCCTTGCTTTGCAGTTGAGAGAGCTGGGCCCGGAGAAGGGAAGTGACCTGCCCAAGGTTGCTCATCTGGGAGTGGAACCCAGGTCTCCTGATTAGCAGTCCCATGTTCCTTCTATTAGCCCTCTCTCATCAGGTAGGAGTCCCAGGCGTCACTTATGGGACACCTGCAGATGCCACCTGCCACTTTGATACACCTGTGTCCACTTACAGGAAGAGCCCTCACAAACAGGCCTGCCCTGCTCCCTGTGGCTCTGAGCCACCCAACACCCCCACTCTGGCCTACCTGGTGCTCTGGTCTCTCCTGCTCAGAGGCTGTTCTATCATTTTGTTGGCTATACTGGAGCTAACAGTGTCAGAGCATGTCACCCAGGGCAAGGATTATTCTTTCCATTTTTTCAGACAGTAAAACTCTGAGACTGAAGGATTTGTCTTAGACTCTCTGTTGTGTTTTGCTTTTTAAAAAATACATATTTTTATTGATTTCAGAGAGGAAGGGAGAGGAAGAAAGAGATAGAAACATCAATGATGAGAGAGAATCATTGCTCAGCTGCCTACTGGCACCCTCCCCCCAACACAACTGGGGCATGTGCCCTGACCAGGAATCGAACCGTGACTTCCTGGTTCATAGCTTAACCCTCAACCACTGAGTCAAGCTGGCCAGGCCGTTCAGTGTTTTTCTAGGAGAGGCTGTCCACAGGAGAAAATGCTGGTAGGCAAAATAAAAAAGGGAGTAATATGTGACTTGGAAAAGGGAGAGGGAGGTGATAGGCAGTAGTTCAAATGCACAGTTCTTATGGTGGCTGTGACAATGGTGATTTTGATGACAGTGATGATGATCAGTAGTGACGATAGTGGTTTTGAGGATAAAGTTCAAGTACGTGTCACTTCTCCTGCTCTGCTGTGTGCTGGCCAGTTGAGGAAAAACACACAGCACTGCATAAGTGGTTACAGACTATCAGCTTTTTAGGGGCTCTCTGGAAGCAAGAAGCAGGTGAAGCCTGCAACATCTACCAGAGATTCTTCATTTCTAGGCTCAACTAGATATTCAGACCCACAGAACTACCAGTGAGTACACCTGGCACCAGATCCATTTAGAGCAGCGGTTCTCAACCCGTGGGTCGCAACCCCTTTTGCGGTCGAACGACCCTTTCACAGGGGTCGCCTAAGACCATCCTGCATATCAGATATTTACATTACGATTCATAACAGTAACAACATTACAGTTATGAAGTAGCAACGAAAATAATTTTATGGTTGGGTCACAACATGAGGAACTGTATTTAAAGGGCCAGAGGGTTGAGAACCACTGGTTTAGAGGAAAGTAGGATGAGAACCATGACCTCCACAAGGCAGGTCTGGCTTACCTCTGCAGGGGAGTCCTTGCAGGACATCCATATCCTTGTTGAGGGCTAGTCTCTTGGCCCCCAAATAATAGTTCAGGAAGGAAATAAGATTCACAATAGTGGGTGTAGGATTCACCTTGGCATAGTTTCCAGGGTCCCCACAGAAGTTTCTGTTTCCCTTTCCTTTCCTGTGGAACAGAATAACACCACCATCGTTAGAGTTGCTGAGAGGACTGGAGAAGATGGTGCATGTAAGGAGGAGGCACGCCTAAGTTATCAGTGGCCAGACTAGGAGGCACCTGTTCAGAGTAGGTTCCACCCGTAGGCACTCAATAAAGGTTTGCTGAATCCAGTCACAGCCTAGAGAACCTGACCCTGTGTCCTCATGTAATTGAGAGTCTGCTGTGATTTGGAGCAGTGCTTCTTTCGGAAGGTCTTGGGTCCCCTCACGCGTGACCCCTCAATGAGATCTGATTACATTGAATGTCCTTGCTCCACCTGCCTCTCTTCCGTCATCTCTAATGACACTGTCTGCCCCAGCAGGGAAGCTGACAGAGCCTCACAGAAAACAAATGGGACGTTCTCTGCTCCAGTGGGTCAAGTTATTAGAATTTAACAAGAGCAAATTAATTAAGGTCTTTGGCACCAAACACATTTTTTTTTCTTCACTTCAGAGACCCAAGAGATTGGCCATCAAAGTGTCAACTTTGCAAACATAAGGACTTCATCCTTACCATGTTTATTTCTTACTCATGGGTGGACTGGGGTCAAGGGGAGGAAGGAGAGCAACATTTCTGAGTTTGCTCCAAATCTTTAAGACAGCGGAATATGGTTGTTACCAAAATTATTTTAAAAATTTTTGTTGAAGTTTTCTCTGTGTGCTATCTATTCAGGTTATTTCCTTTGATTTAGAGATACCTGGTACCTGCCCTCTAAAATATAGGAATTCAAATCCTAATTTGTAGCAAGTGGGCAGGGGGTGGTGGCAGCAGAATTATAAAAACATTTTCAAATTTAATTTTAATTCATATTAACTTAAAATACATATATGCTATAAAGACTCCTCCCTTTGGGCTAGAAATGACCTGCCTGTCAAACCTTTTAATTCCCTGATTAGAAAACTTTAAAAATATGGAGGAGGCAGCCAAAAATATGGAAGAGACTAGGAAATAAAAGATCTAGGTCTGAAAACAAGATTGGCCACTACCTACCTCTATGGCCAAGTTACTTCCTCTTTCTACAACTCAGTCAACTCATCTGTAAAATAAGAGGGTTGAACCTGATAACCTCCAAAGTCCTTCTGGCTCTGATTCCTAGGATTTAGAAGTTATGTCCATTGTGAGAAGATATCATAATTCTCAGAGGTTGACAGCTGTGGCTGGGGGGAATCTCATTAATGGCGTGGAAGACAAACAACCCATAGGCATCAACCATGTAAACCAGCAAGTGAGGCTAAGTCTATGTTTCATTATCGGCATGTGACTTGTCCAATTTTCTGAATTTACTATTAACTCATATCTCACCCATGCCCTCCCTCACCCCTCATGGCTTCCCATGCATGACCACTTCTCCCCATAGCTGAGCTTTGGGATGCTTGAAGGATGAAGATGACTGATTTAGAAGCAGACACACCAAGTAAGCACTGTCCCTCTCAAAGGAGACCCCTTGGGAGGTAATTCACTTAATCCAGTTGTGCTGACAAGCTCAAAATATTTTAGGAACACCTCTTGAGAGCTGTCTTCAGTGCCTGCAGCACAGTCTTTGGAACAGACTCAGAGTGGCATGTCTCTTTGTTGCCAGGGATTTGTGACTAGAAATAGCCCAATCTGATAAATAAGGTGGGTGCTCAAGCCAGCTAATACATTTTGGAGACCACATGAAAACATGCCCTAATCTGCTTTTCTTGTCTGGCTTCTAACCTAGTACTGAAGTGATTTTAATAAGGGTATCTCCCACTTAAAAAATGAGCCACCACATTTCAGTGGCTTAATGCAATAGAAGTTCCTGATCAGTGGAGGTTCTCCTCCACACAGTGATTCAGGGACCCACGCCCCTTCTACTTTGTGGCTCCACAGTCTCACAGGGCTTTTGAGTCTTTTATCTCCAGCTAATAGAAAATAAAAGAGAGCACAGATAAGGGACACCCACATACTTTTCCTCTCAATCCCCATTGCTTAACCTTGGCCATGTTTGTAACTTTTGTAACTTTATAATAATCCTTTTAAAATGAAGTTATGTGATACTTATTTAATAATACTGATAATAAAATAATAACTAATATTTCTCATTATATACCAAGCACTGTGAAGAGTGCTTTATGTGCATCATCTTGTTTATTCCCTACAATCCTATGATGTAGTTACTATTATAATGCCCATTTTCTTTCTTTCTTCTTTTTTTTAATCCTCACCCGAGGCTATTTTTCCATTGATTTTTAGAGAGAGTAGAAGAGAGAGGGAAAGACAGAGAGAAATATCAAAGAGAGAAACACATTGATTGGTTGCCTCCTGCATGAGCCCTGGCCAGGGCCAGGGCCAGGGAGGAGCCTGGAACCAACGTATGTGCCTTTGACCAGAATCGAACCTGGGACCCTTCAGTCCACAGGCCGATGCTCTATCCACTGAGCAAAGCAGCTAGGGCATAATGCCCATTTTCTTGACATGAAAACTGAGGCTAAGAGATAAATCATCCAAGGTCATACAACTAAAACCCAGTTTCATCTGATTACAAATCCCACATTCTTAACCACTCTGTTATAACAATGTGACACGTATATAAAACACATCTTATATGACTTCAAATAGAAATTATATATACATACACATAGATAATTTCAAAAAAATTTACCTTCTCCAAAGCTGCACGGTCTCTGGAGGGAGTACCTGACCTTGAGCACAGAGAATGAAGCAGCCCAGACACATGGCACTGTTCGGTTTCAGATAACCTAGGTTTATGTCCTACTTCATGTATAATCTGTGTGTCTTAGGACAAGACATTTATCCTCTCTGAGCTCACTTTCCTCTTCTGTAAAGTAGAGATTATATCACCAACTTCACAAGGTTTCTATGAAAAGTATACTGTATTTGCAAAGCCATTTTAGAGTGACAGTCATAGTAAGCATTCAATAAATATTGACTGTCATCACCATCAATCACCATCATTGCCAGCACCTTCATGATCACCATCCAGAATGGCCGAGAAACACAATTCTGTCTATATGTGTCCAGAGGGTGAGAACTTTGCGCCTCGTAAAGAAACCCCACAGAAAAAAATCCACACTATCTTAGGGCGTAATCACACACACTTCCAGGGATGGGCGTCTCAAATTGGGGCTCCAGGACACTTCTCTTTTCTACTCAGTCCTACTGAGTTAAGCTTACATTACATTAAAGAGCCTCAGCACCCAATGATTTTCCAACAAAGTTCTCACAGGTTTCGGCGGTGCCCTGGGTGCCGATGCATTGAGAAACGTTCTGTACAGCTTGACCAAGGTCAACTGGCTCAGCAGGGCCCTGCTCAGAGGGGAATTCTTTCAGAAGCCACTTCTAAGGGACAACCTCTCCCTGGGCACTGAGAGATGGAAACAGAAAGTGGCTTTGCATTTGCCCTCACTGAGTGCTTTCCGCATCCTCTCTCCTTTGAGTCTTTGTTGAGTTAGATGACTCAAAGCATTCATCAAATGAAAACTCAGAGCATTCAAGTCAAGGTGAGCCTGCCCAAAATGGGGCCCCTGCACCCTCATCTTGCCAATTCCTCAGGGAGGCCCTGAGAAGTGCAGCCTGGCTACTTGTGAGAAGCACAAAGCTGTACCCCTGGAGAATATTGGACAAGTGGCATTGCCAGTCAGGTCTATCCTGGCAGCAGCTTCTGAAACCACCCCACATAGCTGGTTATATTGATATCTTTCCCACACTTGCCTGATAAGTTCTTTGGTGCAGGTCCTGACAGGGCTAGCCCCTTGAGGGGTAGCATCTGGAAGGTGAGTGTTTGGCAACGGTGGGGCTTCCGAGGTGTCTTGCCCCATAATTGCCTGCAACTCTGCAGGGGGAGGGGAGCATCCCTCCAGGTGACTACTGAAGGCTCTCAGCTGTGGGAGAGGAGACGCAGGTGCGAAGGCTTGTCTCCACTTCTGTGGAGCTGGTTGGTTTCTAGAGCTCCTTTCAGTTCCAGCAGTGGTTCTCAACCTGTGGTTTGCCAACCTGTGGGTCACGACTCATTTGGGGGTTGAACGACCTTTTCACAGGAGTCGCCTAAGACCATCAGAAAACACATATATAATTACATATTGTTTTTGTGATTAACCACTACGCTTTAATTATGTTCAATTTGTAACAATGAAAATACATCCTGCATATCAGATATTTACATTACAATTCATAACAGTAGCAACATTACAGTTATGAAGTAGCAACGAAAATAATTTTATGGTTGGGGTCACCACAACATGAGGAACTGTATTAAAGGGTCTCGGCATTAGGAAGGTTGAGAACCACTGATCCAGCATGTTACTCATCGATAAACAGTGACTCACACCGAGGCTCAGGAAGGACAGTTAGGAGATGGAAGAACAGGTGCTTCTGTTTGGGGATGGGGCTGGCAATGAAGGAGGAAGAGATATGAGTGGGCACTTTCTATCCTGTGATCTCCCCTGACCCCACAACAACCAGCATCATGTAGCATTGAGTGTTAGATGTGTGTCCCACACTGTGCCAGGCATCAGCATGAAGGACTCATTACCATGTTTAATCTCATAACAACCCTATAAGAAAGGGTTTACTCAGAAAAAGCCCCTATTTACTCAGAAAAAAAAAGTAATTGTCTAAAGCCACAGGCTAGTAAAGTGACAGAGCTCTGAATGTTCAACGCATGCCCATTGGTAAGTTGACTTTAAATTGTGGAGCCCAAAGATCTTTGGGTCTAGGAGAGGAATAATCCATTTCTCCAGTGGTCTGGCATTTTCATGTCTGTCACATCTGGAAGTATTTTTTAAGTTACTAGGATAAGGACCATGTTGTAGGCAGTGCTGTCCACACACAGGCAGCACTGGCATTGCCTCAGAGCTGCTTAGAAATGCAAATTCTTAGGCCTCACCCCAGACCTACTGAGTCAGACTCTCTGGGGGCGGAGCCTGTGAGTCTGTATTTTACAAGCTCCCTGGTTGATTCTTGTGCATGCCAAAGTTTGAGAAGCACTGTTGGAAAGTTGTCTGCAACTTTTATGCCATTTAATGAGGATACCAGCAGGAGATGGGGGTAGGGAGGAGGATTCTAGCATGAGAGGGAACCAGATGCTTCTCTACAGACTTCTCAGTTAGCATTGGCTTCTTAACTCCATGCATGATGGGGACCAAGTGTCATAGAAGCACATAGTAGGTACTCAGGAAATACCAAGTGGAATTAAATTGTCTCTCACTGCTGTGGACACAAGAGCCAATGGCCAAGGTTCAGCAAGGGAGGATGGGGATGCCACATCCAGAAAAACTCCCTGACACTGCTGTGGTGAGCTAGGGGCATGGGAGCCATCCACTCACAATGGTCACCTTCCCTCATGGGCTGAGCTGAGCAAAGGACCATTTAAGCTGGAGGTCAGGGGGAGCTATGATGGCAAATGAAAGGTTCTGACAACCTATGGAGCCTACAGTTTTGTGAGGAAGAGGAGGCCAAAAAGGCAGAGAGATGTTAGAAAGACAAAGGCAGCAATGGTTCTGGAACTGGATTTCCCACAAATACAGCCCAAGGGCACATTGTAGATGGTTACCAGGTAACTGTTAAATTACATAGAAAACCCCAGCAAAGGACACAACCAAAACTTACTGGGTTTTGAATATTACCATGCCTTCTAATTTTCCTTTTTTTTTCCTGCTCCTTCTCTGCCTCCCTTCACCAATCACCTTTCTTTCTATTCTAATTCCAATATCTATCTCTCTCTCTCTCTCTCTCCACTGCCATTTCCCATCCATCCATCTTCTTTCTCTTCAGCCTTGCCCACTCACCTGTTCCAATCAGGTGAGCCCCACCCATCTTCCCCCATTTGAAAAACATTCTGCCATCCCTGGAACCAGTAAGTAGTTTGTAGAGCAGGAAGCAGAGGGAGTGCTAGGGAGTATATGTGAATGAGGTAGTTTGTGCTCTTCCAACTTTTGCCAAACAAGCATTATCTACAAACACAGGTGCACCTTCCTCCCCTTCAGCCACCTATCCATTAAAATGGTTTAATTACTTCCTGAACACTAGACAGTTAGTTAATTAGAAGGCAGCATTCAGACCAAAAATTTAAGCCACCCTAGTCAATCAGGGTAAAACTGTCTGATCAGGAAGCTAATTAGGAATCAACTGTAGTGGCTCTTAATGGAAAGAGTTTAGAGTTTCAACCCGCTTCTCTCTCCCCAAGGCCCCTGTCTCCTCCATCATCATTGAGGCTTTTCAGTCTCCTGAAACTGTGTTAGCTGCCCAAGCCTCAACCGTACCTCCTGTCCTCAAGGGGCTTATGATCTAGGGAAAAAAGCATAGCAGAGTTCAAACAAGGCTTGTGGAGTAAATGAACAAATAAATGGTATAGTGCTAAAGGTGCATAGGCAGGTATTCAAAAGGTTGAAAGAAGTGATAAGAGTTGGCACATTGGGAGAGGGTGAGAGCAAGGCTCTGGGTAAAGGGCAAGCCTCCCTGTCCAGAATCAGGCAGGCTGATCAAGGGGTCCACAGTGGTCCGCTGAAGATTTATGAACGCCCTAAAATTATAAGGACAGTTTGTGTGTTTGGTTTTTCTTTTTCCAGGAAGACGGTCCTTAGCTTCCATGAGATCCTCAAAGGGGTATATACTGAACACATTAGGATCTACTGGGCTACAGGGAGATTGTCTCTCCTTCAATGAGCCCTTGAAGACTTGTCACGCAAAGTGCAATTGCAGGAGCCACTGGAATCCTGGAGACAAGAGTGACAGTGGGTAGCAGTCTTGCCTCCTAGGATCACAGTGTGTTGGAGGTTGGAGAGGCTTTGAAGTGTTGCCATCCAGTCTCTTTGCTTCACATCAGGAGGCTGAAGTGACTCAGTACTGTTTGCTCTTGTGAGTCAGTGCTTAACCGCAGGGGCCAGACCAGCCACCTCTAGATTTACAATTGCTGTAATTTCCATAGTGCCTCATCCCTAATCATCATCATCCCTCACTCACCATCACAGGTCCCAGCCTCTAAGACCGCCCTTACAATAGGGACAATCATCCCTTTCCTGTTTTGCTCATCCCTTAACTGGTCCCATCTTCTTAGCCCTTCTATTGTGCCCTCTGGACCTCATGGTCCATCATTGGCAGCCCTTCCCTGAGTATAATTTTCATCTTCCCTTAATTGCAACATAACTGTCTCCTGAAGACATTATTTCTAGCATGACTTTCTCAAGTGGTGGCTGCTTTTCCTATCATGCACTATTCTGTGGGTTCTGGAGGTGGGATCCCCTTCTTGATGTTGTTGGCTGCTGACTGCCTACTCACATTCCTTGATGGACCTGACTCATACACTCCCTCCCACCAGTCTTGACTTCAGAATCTTTACAGATTAGTGGTTCTCAGCAGAGGTGGTACCATCCCCTAGTGGGAAGTTTGGAAATGTATGAGGTTTTTCATTTGTTTTCAAATGTAGTTGTGCCCAGCATTTATATTGAAATTTATATAGTCTTGTTATAAATGACTTTCCATTTGTTTGCTTTTTTCCCCTTTATCTGTTAGGGCAATATATATATGCTAGAGGCCCAGTGCACAAATTTTTGTGCACTCGGGAGGGTCCCTTAGCCTGGCCTGTGCCCTCTCGCAGTCTGGGACCCCTCAGGGAATGACCACCTGCTGGCTTAAGCCCGCTCACTGGGGGATTGGGCCTAAGCTGGCAGTCAGACATCCCTCTGGCAGCCCGGGAACCCTCGGGGGATGTCCACTTGCCAGCGGGGAGCAGGCCTAGCTGCAGTCAGACATCCTTAGTGCTGCTGTGGAGGCGGGAGAGGCTCCCACCACCACCGCTGTACTGGCAGCCGTCAGCCTGGCTTGTGGCTGAGCAGAGCTCCCCCTGTGGGAGCACACTGACCACCAGGGGGCAGCTCCTGCATTGAGCGTCTGCCCCCTGGTGGTCAGTGTGTGTCATAGTGACCAGTGATTCCCAGTGGAATCACTCTGCCGTTAGGGTCAATTTGCATATTACACTTTTATTATATAGGATAGAGGCCTGGTGCATGGGTGGGGGATGGCTGCTTTGTCCTGAAGGGTGTCCCGGATCAGGGTGGGGGTCCCGCTGGGGTGCCTGGCCAGCCTGGGTGAGGGGCTGAGGGCTGTTTTCAGGCTGGCCACACCCCCTTCAGGGTGGAGGGTCCTGCTGGGGTCCCTGGCCAGTCTGGGTGAGGGGCTGATGGCTGTTTGCAGGCTGGCCACAGCCCCTTCAGGGTAGGGGTCCCTGCTGGGGTGCCTGGCCAGCCTGGGTGAGGGGCTGATGGCTTTCAGGCTGGCCAAAGCCCCTAGCCACCCAAGCTCCCAGTGGAGGCTGGCTGGAAGCAGGTATCTGGGATTTATTTAGCTTCTATAATTGAAACTTTGTTGCCTTTTGTGGAGGCCACAGCCGGCCGGGGCAGGAGGGAAGCTTGGCTTCCTCCATTGCCGGGGCAACCAAGCCTCCTGCTTGCTCCAGCTCCGTGGCTGCTGGCCGCCATCTTGGTTGGATTGATTTGCATATAGTTGCTCTGATTGGCTGGTGGGCGTGGCTTGGGCGTAGCAAATGTATGGTCAATTAGCATCTTTGTCTTTAATTAGTGTAGAATATCTCAACCATCGTGACTTATTTTATGAACCTCATTTGAGGATAAAAAAGGGGATATTAAAATATATTTGTTATAAAAAGAGGGCATTTGGTCTGATAGCACTGAGATGGCTGATGCAGAAAATATGTCCAACTCCTCATTACTCCAAAATAATTTTCCTCCTGCTCACCTCAGCCCCACTCAAATGGTCAACCTCTAGACCTTATCTTCACCAAGAACCACACCACTCCCAAAGTCTGGATTTAAACATCCCACTCTCTGATGATCATGCCCCTCCACCCCCATCTTTGTGGTTTACTGATTCCTTGGCTGATGCATGAAAGAGGCAAGGAACACAGGTGACTTCTAGAAGCTGAAAAGGCAATTCTCCAACTTCATGGAGACCTCTTGTCATTGACCCTAAAACTTTTCTTTTTCATTATTCTTTATTTTATTTGTGTCTTCACTTCTCTCCTCCCCAGGGTAATAACTACTCCCTTGCAAACATCCAGAACTCTCACCTTCTCTCCTACCTTACTTTCCTGGAGAAATAGTCAATACTGATTATATCCAGCTCTCTTCTTATTCCACAAATACACCTAGCAAGCAGTTGAAAGTGTAGAAAAAAAATCACATAACCAATGACTAGACTCATTTCAAAATTATGGCCACAAATTTCAAATGGGCACCCAACACCATCAGATGATTCTGCCACATCTCCCTTACAAATTCACTCTCCCACTTTCCAAGATAACTATTTCTCACTTTCTCTTTTCTCCACAAATTGTCAGCACTTCCTCCCTTATCCCTTCCCCCTTAGCTGATGACTTCATGGAAGAAAAAGATGCACTTGCACTTCTATCATCTTACCTTCAAGGTGCCCACCACGCCAGTGGTCACTCCTCATTTCACTGACCTCTCAACAGAATTTTCAAATTATCACACTCTCTTTCCTGATATATTTCTCTAGACATCTGGGTCTCTACTTGCGGGTCTTGCTTCTACACCATTTATTGCTCATTCAGAGCCTCCTTTGCTGATTTCACCTCCATCAAATTGCCACCAAACCTCTATACATCAGAAGGCTCACAGAGCCTCTGTCATTGGCTCTCTTCACTTGTTTGCCATCTCTCCCCAGGAGATCTGGGCCATTCCTAAGGCTTCACATTCTACCTCTGCACTGATTACTTCTATCTCCAGGCCAGATCCCTCCCTAAGCTTCAGACTTATATGTTCAACTGTCATGCTGGTCCTTCCAGTGAGATTTCTATCAGACATCTTAAATGTACCATGAATAAAATACTAGTATAACTATCACTGTGGCTAAAGAATGGCCCCCAAAGACATCCAGGTCATAATCCCTGGAATCTATTAATGTTGCCTTATGGTAAAAGGGATTTTGCAAATGTGATAAATTTAAGAATCTTGACATGGGGTGATTATCCTGATGACTCAGGTGGGCCCAATGCAGTAATCACAGTGTTCTTATGAGAGGGGGGCAGAGGGAGGCTTGAAGACAAAAGAATAGTAGGAGATGTGACAGTGAAAGAAAGAGGTAGACTGATGCAAGGAAGAAGCAAGGCGACTTCTAGAAGCTGAAGAAGGCATGGAAATGGGTTTTCCACTCAAAGCCACCAGAAAGAACCAGCCTTGCTGACACCTTCAGATCAGCCTGTCGAGACTGATTTTAGACTTCTGATCTCCAGACCTATAGAAGAATACATTTGGGTTATTTTTAGCCACTAAATGTGTGGTCATTTGTTACAGCAGTCATAGGAAACTAATAGAGTCACTGCCACCACCACACAAATCCACACCCCCTACCCTTGTGCCTTTTACATCTTGATAAATGGCACCATTACTAACAGCTAAGGCCAAAACCTTCCAGTTGTTCAGATTTTTCTCTTGATCCACACCACACCTGTCAGCTCTACTCCCAGCATACATCCTGATTCCAATGGTTCTCACTGTCTCCACTGCTATCACCCTGGTCTAGGCCACCATCATTTCCTCTTGTGTTCTGCTCCTACTCTTGTCCTCCTCAGTTTATTGCTTCACAGGAGCCAGAATGATCTTTCTGGAGGGTAAGTCAGATCACATTATTCCTCCTACTAAACCCTTCAATGGTTTCCCATTATATTAGGATAAAATACAAGTTCCTTGTCATGGCCTACAAGGCCCTATCATTGATTGGCCTCTGCACTTATCTCCCTGAACTTCCCCACTCATTCACTACACCCTGGCCACACTGACCTCTTTTCTGACCCTTTGCATCATTCCCAGCCCCCAGCCTTTGCACTTGCAGTTCCTACCACTGAATGCTCTCCTTTCAGGCCTTTGCATGGTCTCAATTCAAATATTATCTCCCACCACCTTCCTGCTAAACAGGACCTTTTAGAACCTACAGCCAGTGGCTATTTAACCCTATTTTACATTCCTCATAGCATTTTCTCAGTACCTGAAATAGTCCTACTGACTTGTTTACATGACTGTTATGTGTCTCTCCACTAGAATGAATGTAAGCTCTGAGGGCAGGATTCTTCCTGTCGTTCTCACTGCAGTATCTCTAGTACTTGGCACACAGTAGGTACATAATTAATATTTATTTGCCTGGTTGTCTGACATGGCTTGTTTCTGACTCCACCTTCCCACAGGCCAATATAACTGTGTCCAAGTCTCCCAGTGGTGTGTGTATTTCAGTAGCGCTGGGCTAGTTGTACAAAGAGTTAACTAGTGGAATTTCAGACATCATTCAGCGGGTATGGCATGACCATGGGGTTTCTTTCATGGTGCCTTTAAAAGCATACGATTCATTCAACATCAGCTAAGTACGGGGTGCCATGGATACATGGTAGAAGGAGGAAAAAATACAGGGTGGGGGAAAAGTAAGTTTACAATTGGGAGTACTCAAAACAGAGTTTATTCTTGTATTAGTATTTATTAATTATTGTATTATTTTATCAAACAACTGTAACCCTACTTTTGCCCCACCCCATATTTATATTATACATCAAAGACAACAAATTTGGATCTTGTGAAGTCACAATGTGGGTGGGTAGAGTAGAGGTAGACAAAGGTATCACATGGAAGTTCTCAGCTATTCTGTGGACTTGGTGTGGTTTGCACCCACTAAAGACTCGTTGAGCCTAGGAATGTAGGGATGGGAACCATGTGGCTCAGAGCTGAAAGGCAGGTTTGAAAAGAACAAATCAAACTATAGAAATCCAGCTTGCCCCCCACCTACCTTCATTTATAAATAATGGGAGACTATGACTTGCTTTCCTTACGTGGCTTTCCTTCTTCTCCCTGTGGCCTCAGGTCTCATCATCCACGAGGGACCCTCTGTGTACCGCATCTTTAAACGGTGGCAGGCTGTCAACCAGCAGTGGAAAGTGTTGAACTATGACAAGACAAAAGACCTGGAGGATCAAAAGTCAGGAGGCAGGACAAACCCCCGGACCTCCTCGTCCACCCAGGCCAATGGCCTCTCTTCGGAAGAGGAGGCTGCGGACACCCCTGCCCCCGAGGAAGGCCCTGCCCGGGCAGCCAGCCAGCCCTCAGGCCCTCCCTCTGATCACCACTGTGCTTACACCATCCTGCACATCTTGAGTCACCTAAGACCTCATGAACAGCGGAGCCCCCAGGGCGGCAGCCGAGAGCTCGTCATGAGGGTCACAACAGTGTGAAAGGAGTGCCTGGAAGGGCAGCCGTGACCATGCACAACAGCGGAGGGTGGGCTGGGAAGAGGAAGGCCCGATGGGATGCTGGTCTGGGGAGCAGGTGTGGGGAGGCCAGGTGGCTCCCCAGGTGCCAGAGCAGAGGGAAGGAAGAGGGTGGGGGGCTTTGAGGGGTCTGGGGGCAGGATTAGAGCTGCAGTGAGTGATGTTGGTGTGGTTTTGTGGTTTCCAATCAGTCAATACCATTCTCCAACAAGAGCAAGGAAAACCAATACAAACTCAACAACAAAGTGCAATACAGACTGAACCCAACAAAATACAACACCGGGCACATGTACCGTGGTCAAACACCTGGGGGGAGTGGAGGCTGCAGAGGGCAAGGCTGGCGTGGGGGTGGTGCCCACCTGTGCCCCTGTGGAGGGAGAAGCAATGCGAAGGGCACAGAAGGAAAAGCACCTGCAGCCTGCCTGCTTTACCCTTGAGTTTGTTTTGGTTCCTCTCTGGGCCTGACCCACTGGCTGTGGGGGGAGGGAGAGGGCGGGTGAGGCCTGGCAGGGATGGCATTCAGTTTTTGCAGCCCCTGAGCTCACCGGATGGGCAGGATTTCTAGCTCAGATGGCTTTGGCGACTCTGGGTGGACCGTGTAGGGAGGGAGGTGTTGGTGTGAGCGGCCAGAGGGAGGGGGGATTTCCCTCCTTTCCACACCTTCCAAAGTGGAACTCCCAATTTCAGGTGGGCTCAACGAGGGCTTAAGTTTGGAGGTGGATGTCTTTTTGTGCCCTTGTTACTTTATTTTATGGTGATTTGGCTCAAAGATGTTTACAGGACACACACACACACACACAACTAGAGAAAAGTACAGATTTCCCATGGGCATCTCAAGCACAGTCCTGCTGCTGTGGCTTCAGCCTTCAAAAGCTGTCAATCCAGAAGTGACTTCCCTGCTGCCCACCCACCCATGGCCCACCTTGCTAGGCATGTGCTGAAAGCTGCTACAGCGAGTGGGAGGGAGTTGGCTGGATGTATCCCAGCCAGTGGAGTGGAGTAAGACCAGTCTAAGTATTCCTTGCTGCTGAGGACCCTCCCCGAGGGCAGTTTGGCTAAGCCTTCAGTGCTAGTGCTCCCTGGTCCTTCCCAAGCACCAAGGCTGGTCCAGGGACCCTGGCAGGGAGCACTGTCCCTTGAGCCTGCCCACTGGTTCCTGGGACCCTGCCAGGGAAGGCCACTGGGTGGCCACCTGCAGAGTTTCTTGTTGTCATTGCACAATGGCTGCATCATCCATAGGTATTCAAGGGACACTGTCAAATACTTTTTTAAACCAGTTTTTAGGGTTTTTTAAAACTCTCTGTTGTTTGTATTATTCTCTTAAAAGCTTGAAAATAAAATTTCTTTCCCTACCACTAGTGTCCTTTTCCATATGTGAGCTTCCCTTCCTCTCCCCCCTTCTCCCTCTGTGGGAACCCTGCCTCTCCTTGCCTGTGTCTTCACCCCTAAGTCTCCTCGTAGCAAGAAATCAAGGGTGTTTTTATTTCTGCTTTGAAGGTATAGATGAGGTATGGTAGGTGTGTGTGTGTGTGTGTGTGTGTGTGTGTGTGTGTGGTATGTGTGTGTGTGTGTGTGTGTGTAGTGTGTGTGTGTGTGTGTGTGTGTAGTGTGTGTGTGTGTGTGTGTGTGTGTGTGTGTGTGTGTGTGTTTATGAAGCCCAGGGACTGCTGGCCACTTCTTGGCTTTTTGCAGATGGGAGTCCTTCAAGTCAAAAAGAACAGCGCCCAAATCCTGCCCTGCCTTCTGCCCAGGAAACCTGGAAGCAGAGACCAGTGTTGAAAGGAAATCTGGAGAGCTTCCACCCCATCAGGTCATTTCACAGAAGCGGAGAGAACCTCAGGAGGGATGAATGTGTCCTGACCTCATTCCCCTGACTCTTCCTCTGACTATCAGAGGGTCCCAGGAGAAGGCTTTGCTGTAGACAAGATCTGAGGCAGCAGACAAGATCTTTCCTCCCTTTCACCTGACTGGAACCTCCATCCTCAGGACCAGAGCTGGTAGAGCGATGTCATCAGCAGGATGTGTACTGGTTAAGGAGGCTCCTCACCTGATGGACATAACAGTTGGTGAGGGAACAAAGGATGCATACAAGCAAAACATATAAACAAGTGAAACCCAACAAAACCAAACAAATATTTCCTGGTGGAGTAAAGGTATGTATTTTTCTGTGTGGTCTCAGAACAGGCCATTCAGGTCAATTAAATATTTATAGAAGCCCTAGATGGTTTGGCTCAGTGGAGAGAGCGTTGGACCTTGGACTGAAGGGTCCCAGGTTTGATTCTGGTCAAGGGCATGTACCTCGGTTGCAAGCTCGACCTCCAGCTCTGGTTCGGCCCATGGAGGAGGCAACCAATCGATGTGTCTCTCTCACATCAATGTTTCTCTCTCTCTCTCTCTCTCTCTCTCTCTCTCTCTCTCTCTCTCTCTCTCTCTTCCCCTCTCCCTCTCCCTTCCACTCTCTCTAAAAAATCAGTGGAAAAATATCATCAGGTGAGGATTAACAAAAAATATATATTTATGGAAAATATAGATGTCTTACATGCACTATCTATTTTCAGGAAAAGTATTAGGATGCAACAACATGCAAACTTCACCACAACTGTAGTGGCCATCACATTGAGTTTGGTGGCTCACAGGGCACGTCAGATCTTGTGGTTGTGCAGGGTCATCCTACTGAAGAAGAGGCATCAGATTAATGACAAATTCTCATAGAATGCTAGCATGTGTTGGATCTTGATGATGGAAGATCTAAGACCTCAAAGACCTGTCTGTTTTGTTTGTTGCTATATATTCAGGATGCGCAGCAGTGCGTGGCATATTGTAGGAGCTCAACAAATATTTCTGGATGAATAGGAGACTCCTGGAAGAGGACCGGACTGCCTTCAGCATGCAGGAGACATGCCTCCTTTGCTTCCCACTTATACCCTAGCTCTCAAGTTCAATCATAGCTCAGAAAGGAAAATCCACTTTTGACTCCACACAAGATGGTAGCTTCCTTGTGCCTTGTGAAATGGAACTTTTGGGCCCCAAAATGAATGGATTGGGTTTTTCTATGCATCTCTGTGGGCCAGAGACCATTTTCCTCTTCCAGACATGCAAATCATCCTTCATTCCACCAGACAAATGTCCCGGCTTCCTGTGGTGTTACCTGATGCAGAGCAATGAGAAGTGGCCAGAGAATTCACTTGCCCCATGCATGTGTCACCCACGAGTATGGCACATGCATGGGGTAAGATGCTAGCTGACACCTAAATCTCTTTCCATTGCCGGGCACCAAATTAAGTACTTTATATGTATCAACACTCTTAGTATTCCCACAAATGATGACGTAGGTGTCATTATTGCCTTCATTTTACAGATGTGGACACTGAGGCAAAGAGGTTAAGGAATTAGCCCATTAACAGCAGCCAGGAACTCATCCCAGGACACCCAGGCTTGACTGTAACCATTCTGCTCCACCCCTGCTGGACACCCGGCACTCGTTTCAGGGAAACCTGGGTCAGGCCAATGCAGGGAGCTCATCATGACAGAAGTCTATGGAAAAATTGTGGAAAATGTGTAGAAACTGGGGCTGAATAATTCTAAACTATTTCTGTCCCCTACCAAAAATTAGTTTACCTAAAAATTGATTTTTGATGTTATCCAGATAATATCCTGGCTGAATGAAAGCCTGTATGATAGAAAGTTGGCTATTTCTGGACATGGAAGAGTTCAGAAAAGACACTGGACTTACTCCAACCAAATTTTATAGACAAAGAGCCAGGTTCCGTAGGGACCACAGAATCTTCTTCTAGAAAAAAAAAAGTAAAAGCTTACCCTATTTATCAGGACTAGACCTTTGGCCCTGGTTCCCAGTGAGTTGTGCAGAGTGAGGGTTCTAGTCATAGTCCACAAAACTTAGGAGGACCCCATAATTCTGAAGCCTTGTCCCTATCTATTGGGAGAATCAAATCTGTGACATCTTAGAGCATGAAACCACCAAAATCATGGAATTTTTATGAGATAATTTATTACTATTTATTTTACGTATGAGATCCAACATGTACAACAGAGGACAGGGGCATGGCCTGGACAAAACGATACCACTTCCTAAGTGTCATGATGTGCTTTGTAAGCAGAGTTCATTGTGTTGCAGGGGTAAGAAAAAGGAGGGACAGGACACATTATGCATTCTTCCTCATCACCTTTTCTCAAATTACCTGTTTATCCATGAATAATAAGCAATCAAGGCTGACTTTTGCCTGTAAGGGTGTGATCCTGTAGCAGTGGTGCAAGGGCCTGAAGCCTTCTCCCCCCATATCTCCATCCACCCTATTGAAAAAATGGCATGTGGAAACTGGGAAGTGCTTGGGGTGCTATGGACAATTGGGTGACACTTTAAGACAACTCTAAGTGGTGAGGACCTAGGACTGGCTTCACCCCAGATCTGAGTGTGGGGTCTGGCCACATTGGGTTGATGGCCAGCTGGTTGGCCAAGCATCCACTGTCCTTCCTCATGCTGCCTCTTTCCCGCTCTAGCATTCTTATCTACTCCTCACCCAGCCCATCATGAGGACAAGAATCCACTGGGCAAAGGCTTTCCTCTTGCCCACCCTGATAAGAAGTGAAGCCCTCAGCACCCTCCTGGACCCCTGACACCCAACTGATACCACCCAACTGATTCAAGCTACTTATTTTTGGGACAGGGTGAGGTTAAGGGAATGTGCAGCGGAAATATCTGTTTACATGGTAAGCATTTTAATAATCAGAATGAATTCATGTAATATTTATGTAATTAACAAAATTATGGTACATATATCGAGTGGTACATTGAGTAACCATTGAAAACAATGATTAAAAGCTCTTTACTTGGAGGAGGTCCTCGCTCATCTTTCCTAAGAACTTTTCTTTGAAGGAGGGGCAGCCCTGCAGGGGTGGAATAGAGGACTCACGGGTGCTTCCATGTTTCTGTGTTCCCATGATAAGGAAATTTATACTTGAGAGTTTATTTGCCGATCTACCAGAGGGAGGGCAAGGGCAGGAAGAAGGTCTCAAGCTGTACTGAAGACCTGGCCTCCCACACCTTCACTGGTCTCCACAGGCCTCCAGACCAGAGTGATTCTGAAGCTGCCCCTGGAGCTCCCGGAGATTGAGTTTTTGCTGCCAACACATCGGGGAGGAGCTGCCTGCTGAGAGGCACAGAGTGCAGCTGCAGCCAGGCATCATCGGTGAGAGTGCCACCTGCCAGCCCAGCTCTGCGTGTGTCCAAAAGAAGCTGCAGGCAAAGCTGGCCAGCACAGAGCCAGCAGCATCCAGGCTGCAGGCAGTTGGTTCTGTCCCCTTTCTGTCCTACCTCTCTCTCCCACCTCCCTAGGCAGCAGCCGTTTGATACCTTCCAACAGCAGATGACAGTGTACAGGGTGTCTGCTGCCAGCATCCCCTCCCCATGCTCACCCCAGGCTCAGGAGCCAGTCAGTCCTCTGCCCAGGGACCTGTCAGCTGGAGATAGTCACTGAAGGCTCCTGCCTGTCCAGCCAAATGCCTGAAACCTCCAGGCATTTGCCTGGCCTCAGAGCCTGCCAGATGTGAATCTGCAAAGTCAGTCAAGGGGACTGACAATGTGGAGAGGCTCAAACAGACATAGTGGGGGCTCTGAGGCAGATGGAGACACGGGGTAATCAGGCAGAGTAAACAAACATCAAATGAACAAAGCCTTCTTCGGCAGCAACCACAAAAGGGAAGGTAAAATAAGTGACACACTCTTTTTCTGTGTGGACTGGAAATTTTTCATAATGAAATTAACAAATAGCCCTCATGACGTCACCCTCTGTGCCCTTGTGTGGGCAGTCTCTCTGGCCTCAGCACCTCCTCTCATACTGTCTGTGCATAAGTCCTACAGCTTCCACAGGCCCCAGTCCTAACACCGCTTTCTCTAGGAAGCCTTTCCTGATGCATCCTCCTTCCTCCACCACCCACTGGAAAGTAAGCACACCTTCCTCTTTATTTCATTTTGATAGCACCATTTTGATAGCAGCTATTCCATTTTCACTTATAGTTACCTGCATGCTAATCCGCCAAACAGCCACAGAGTGCCTTAAAGGCAGGGAGTCTCGTCCATTAATACTCTATCCTCTGCACCTACCACGTGGTCTAGAACAACGGGAACTGATAAATGGATACATAGATCAATTATTCATTCATTTCAGAAACATGTATATGTGCCCGAATATAGCAGGCACTACACTAGGCAGTGAGGTTAACAAGACAGGTAAGACAGTGGACTCACTGGCCTCATGGAGTCTACCCTCTAAGAAATGGAGGCAGCCATATAAACAGACAATTATAGTGAAGTTATTGGTGCAATCATGAAAAGTACATATAAGGTAGAGAGGATGGTGGGAAGGAGAGAGGGTTCAATTCTACAAGGAAGGTTAGGAAAGTCTTCAAAAAGAGGTGGTGCTAGGTTCAGGTTCATGGAAAAGCAGATGCAAAGAGAGGGTTAGACATATAAGGGATTTATCGGTGGAGCGAGCAGAAGGCAGGTAGAGCCCTCAGACCACACTGCATGCCTTATACCTGTGGGAAAGGAGGATAGGATAGGAAGAGTCTCAGACTGCAGGGAAGTTCCAAGAAAGGTTTGGTCAGACCAATGGGGAGTCCTTGGACCAAAGCTACCCATTGGCAGAACCTCCTATCTTATTGGGCGGGGCCCACCGTGCTCAGGCGTGGCCTGAAAGCAGCCCACAGGAGCCACTGCATTGACATGAACATGGTGGCAGACCCAGCAGGGCAGCAGCTATAGCTGCACATTTTCATAGCTTGGTCTTCTAAGTAATATCAGCAGGCATATAGGTGAGGGAAAGTGGGAGAAGACAAAAGGGAAGATGTTCCAGGAAGGGGGACCTGCATAAGAGAAGACTCCAAAGCAAGAAACAATGTGGATCATTAGTGGGCACGACCGGAATGTAGGCGGGGGTGTGGGGAGGGATGGTGCAGCAAGAGATGAGGTCAGCTGGTTGGAACAGTTCCATTGTGGGGGGTATTGCATGTGAGCAGTGGGGA